TACAAATTAGTTCATTAAAAAGTTTATAGTAATTAAATGTTCCTTTTCTGCAAATGCCCTTATTGTAGTGAGGGATTATACAAGAAGAACAAAAATTAAAGGTAATTAAAATAGACTGCTGGAAAAAAAAAAAGATATGTTGATTTTAATTCGAGAGTAATAGTAAAAAGTACTTTTAATCTTTCACCATTTTAATGTTACAAATTATTTTTAAGTACTTTTTTTTGTCCTAACTCGCACATAGATCATGCCTTTTATCAAAAGTCTGAAACCTCGACAACTATTTTTCTCAATATTCATTGGAAATGTTTTATACTCCTCTAGTCTTATTTATAAGGCAGAAAGAGAAGGCATTTTTTGGTCATATTTATTAGGTACTAAGAGAAATTTTTCATATGAATGTACAATTTTATCTCTCATTTATTATTGTGTTGACTTTGTTTACATGAGATATAATGCATATTAAATAAGAATAAAGTTAAAAAGTTATTAAATTTTAAATGAGAGTTAATGAAGTTTAAAGTCTTCCTTGATCTATGTGAAGCATGCTGAAAATGCCTTATAAATAGGACTAAACGAGTATTTAGAAAAGTATAAAGTAAATTTTTGCTCATTCAAGAGGCTGAGATTAAAGACGTTATACAAGGAAAACATGTGGTGAAGCAGTAAAATCAATCACGGGAGGATTTTTTTTTTTGGTTGACCTTCAGTTATGGGGGAGAACAATTTTTCAATAAATTTAAGAATGAAAGGATATGAGAAAAAGGTGGGGAATGAAGCAACGGCCAACGAATAACAAGCAACAACATCGGGGTTTAATGGTGGGGAGAAGGAAACAATTCGGGGGTGACACGTGTCAGGCATAGGCTGCATGAGGATCAGCACTTCAGTTTCAATCCCAATAATAATAACGATAATGAAATTATCAACGGGTTGGTTAAATTGGAGAATGCGTGTTAGGTGCTCCGTGTGGTGTTAAACCTCCGACGCGTACGCTTCCATCTTCCCCAATTTAATGCTAACTATCAATTTTTCCAAATCATTTTGGTTCAGTTTTTGTTTTTGTTTTTTTGCCGGTGCGTTATTGTTATTATTATGATTTGTGGCTTCCATTCAGCAAGAAAAAGGGTGAAAGGAGCCGTTGTCCTTTGGGGATTTAATGGTTTCATTTATGACCGTTTCTTCTCTGCTAAGTATTCCTCCGCTCTTATCCATATGACAGAGAGGGATTGTGCATATTTTTTTTAAATTCATATGAGTTACTCCCTCCGTTCCTTATTATAAGAGACATTTGATGCTTATGGCATGTTCCTATATATAAGAGACACTTAAAAGTTGTCTCTACTTTTTTGTGTTGATTTCCTATTTTACCCATATTTATTGTCTCCAACTCACACTCTCTCTCCTTCCCACTTCTCTTTCTTTTAATAATTTAATTGTTCTCTCTCATGCTCTCTCTCCTTATTAATGAGGGCATTTTTGGAAAAAAGATTATACTTTTTACACATTGATTGTTCTTAACTAATTTTAACTGTTTTTTTGATCAACGTAATTCGGTTATTCGTCTCTTATAATAAGGAACGGAGGGAGTATTTCATTAAATTTATTTATTATATAAATGTATAGTTCTCTCTTTAATTTAGTGTTCTGTGTATTGTTATCTTTTTAAGCGCGCGCACACACATATATATGCTTATAACAAAAACTAGAGAAGAATGGTTTCGTTGCCAACTCTAAGATCCTTTTGTAAAATTTATGGTGCAAGGAGATTAGTTAGTATTATGACCGGTTTAATTTAAATTAAAAAAATGACATTATAGTCATGAGGTAACCTACTAATCTATTCTATGTCGAGTTAATTTTGGTCTTAAATATAAGACCTACGTAGTATTTTTTATATTTATGACTTTTTTCTAAATTATCCTCATGGATACTCCCTTAACTATAATCAAATAGAAGAGGGAAGGAGGATATTAAAGAAGATGATTATAGTGTTTTAAGAAAAAAATTCTTGTAATTAACTAACTTACCTAATTTTTTAAACTAATTAAATTAGTTAAATATGTCTTATATTAAGGACCGGAGGAGTGATTTTTTCCTTTCAATGTGGAATTATTTTCGATGAAAATCTAGAAAGCTACTCAGTGGAGTCTGTTGACTTTTGATAATGCGGTTTAAAATTAGTTAAAATTTTAGAATTATTTACAACGGACCTAGGTTTAGTTCATTTGGGAGCGCCACAACAAAGGATATTTAGCACACAAAAATTAATCATTTCGAAAAAGGATGTTTTATTAAATAGCGTTAAAAAAATGATCTTATAGTGAGAATAGAAGAGAGATTATTTGCTTTGATGTTACATCCTCATCCCCAACTAATTGGTACTGACAAGTCTTTTACGTTTTAATAGCATAAATGCTATAAACGTTGTGCGTTACATTTTGTTGCTATGGGTCCCCTTGCTGTTTAACAATGGAAGCGAACAAGCTCGTTTGACTGACGCCTGGGTTGATGCAGAGTTGTTCTTTCAGAGAGCTTCGCTGCATGTGGGTGATATTTCTTTCAATTGGTGGTTTTTAGTTTCTTATGTTATATTACCACTGGTTTTTAATATAAAAAATTATTTGATTTTTATCTTGATCCTACGTATAAGACCTTAATCTATTTTACCTTTCATGTTTATCTATTTTTTCTCAAAACAGTCTTTGCAATAATGATAAGTTTAGCTAATATATTTGATTAGTAAAGGTATTCTAAGAAAATCAATACCTATTTATTATAAATAATTAACTTAATAAATTTTTTTAATTTACTTAAATTAGTTAATTAACTCCTATATCAAGAGTTTGTCATACTAGTTTGCTTAGTTTTGTTTCTTGTTTTGTTGTTAGGCGGGCCGATTTGTTCGGTTTGTTTGAGTTTAACTCAACTTTTTCAAATATGACGAGCCAACTTTTTATGTACTCTTTTTATCTTTCCAATAAATTGGTCTCTTAGTTAGAGAGAGAGAGTGAGAGTATTTGCGTGGAGTCAAGGCCGAAGTTGTGGGCCTTGAAATTCCGATGGTCCAAAAATTCATGAAGGAAGCCCAGATGATCCCTTTTCTCGCTCGCTCTGTTTTTATTTTGCTACGTTCTATTCTTTGGGTTCTGAGGGAATGAAGCCCAAATGATGGAAAATATTTATTGTTAAATTGAGCCCATTGGCCCATATCTCCATGAATACTCTAATCTTTAATTGCCAGCATTGATTGGGTTACATAAAGGCGTCGTGCCGGTGTGGTTTATAGATGTCAAAAATCTAAATACTCCGATTCTAAATATAAGATCTTTATACATACTAGTATAAAGGTCTTACATTTAGAACCAGACGAGTAATTATTCAATCTAAATTGCTGAGGTCCAAGAAAATTACTGTAACAAACTTTTAATGTTATTTGAAAATGACATATTTAAAGATCCTTTAAGAATATGAACGACAATTAAGAACCTTAAAATTTTGAACTTGCTAAAAAGGATCATGGTCCTTATCCTTGGCTTGAATCAACGTTTTCTTGTGAGTACTTTTTTTAGAACCCATATGTCATATTTTCAGTACTTAGTTTTTTTAATTGAACAAAGTGAATACTAAAAATATGAAAAATAATTATTTAAAATGTAAAAGATTGGGTCTGACGATAAACGCCATATTATTCACAAGTGGTATAAGTGATAATTATTCACAAGTTATAAATAATACTCCTCCTGTCTTTAATTAATTAATTTGAGTAGTTTAAAAATATTAGTTAAATTTGTCAATAAGATATTTTTTAAAAATATGCAAAACATCTTTCTTAATTCCTTTTATTCATCTCCCATTTAATTATTGTTAGGAAATATTAATGGGGTTAATTTTAAAAAGTTTAATAAATATGTAAAATAGGCCTTATATATAGGAACAACATCAACTCCCTAATCAGATCCTATATTAAAGAGCAAAGAAGTATAATTCATTTACATAATATGGTGGGAGCCAACACTACGAGCCTGTGAGACTGTGACCAAGGACACCACTGACTCTCAAGTTTCACAAAAAATATGTTGGTTTAGAAAAATGCTATTTCACAAACTAATGTTGTCGAGTCTAATAAAAAAAATTAGTTTCTCATAACGTGACAAGCTAAGATTTGAATGTTCATTAAGAGAAGTGTTTATATTTAGTGCCAGACAGTGTTTTGAATATGATTAGAGGAGAACACTAGTGCATAAATGTCTCACAAAATTAGACTTGTGAGGGCATGTGTTTTACTGTTTAAGACTTTTTTTGTTGGGGGTAATTTTTAGTCAGAGATTGTGAGCATTTTTTCTCCCCAACTTTGGAACTCAAAACCATGTGTTAATTTGAAGTCAAATACGTGTTACTGTAGCCAAATCAGTGGTTAGGAATGGGATACAGCCCCTTGACAACATCAACAAAGCCAACCCTGCAAGGCATGTCTCTGCCATCTACCCCAACAAAAACTGAGGTTTTGACAAAATCAAGTTTAATATCTGACTTTTCTGTTGATTAAAACATCACTTCAATATATATATATATATATATGTATATATATATTCTACTCGCTTCTATCTTTGTTATAAATTACTTTTGACGAGAAGTACATGGTCCATCACCAATTGGAGTTTTAATTACATTTTAAAGATGATTCTAATTCAAAATCCAGTTAATTATAACTTCTATGACTCGTTGAATGTAATTCATGATGTTAAAACGCGGGTAAATTTATAAGTATTTGACATTTCCAGAGGAAGTTATTGATTTAACTACCTCCTCTTAATTTTGATTAGCTAATTAGAAAAAGCTTATAATAAAGACATGATGGAATGCAATTTTATTAAAAATTATTCATTTCAGTTAATGTCAACCCATAAAATTAATATAAAATGCTTGAAAGCGTTCTATTATATATTTTTCCACTTATTAATTTTCAGTGAGACTTTTATTGAACATTCTAACAATAATTGGTTCAAGAAATAGAATACGGATCCTCATCCTCCATCCTTTTATTAAGAAGAGAGAAAAAGGGCTATAGCACATGCATAAAATACATACTCAACACCACAAATAATTAACAAAATAATATGCAAAAACAGCAGTAAGTATGGTGAAATTTACACTGAGCATTAGATATCTAATATCCTGTTGTCCTGAATCAAACAGTGTGAAAAATCCATCAAATAAACCAAACAAACTATATATAGCTAAGCATATCATCTACATTCTAACAACAACCACCTCTCTAGTATCTCTTCCAATTATCTGCCCTGTTATTCCTGAAAGCGCAGCATCCAATGGAGTACACAATGATAAGGAAGATGAGGAAGACGATGTTCACAACAGCCACCTTCTTCCAATCAGTCTTTATGTTTTGAAGAAACCCGGCTTTGCAAGATTGGCAATTGAAGCACAGAACTTTGGGGTCATTGTTCCACAGGCCACAGTCAGGGTTGGTAGAGGTTGAATTTGCTGGCTTGGTCCACTGCGTTGGGTTCACGTAGGTGAAGCCACATTCGTCCGCTGGCTTACAGCACCCAGACTGCACAACACAATCAAAAAGGAGGTACAAAAGTAAGACTCATGGTACTCAATTTCTCAGGTACTTGAAGGACTTATGTTTAAACAAGTGTTAATCCTTGAGGAGATTGTGATGGCTATTGCAGCGAATTTTCAAAGCACGTTGGCCGTTGAGCACAAGTCATGATCAGAGTTAGGTAGACAAATAAAGGGAGGGAAAAAAACTAACACGCATGTATAGAATGATGTCAGATATTAAATTATGAGATACTTTTGTCCCAATCAGTGATCCACTTGTATGGTTAAGGGCTCCACCACATTAAAGTGTTGGCGTGACAATTTAAACTTCATAAAATTGAAACATCAGATTTTGGACATTATCTATATAGCTATGATCCGTGTTTTGATTCGGTCTAGAGAATTCAAATCCAATTTGTGATTTAAGTGTTTGTGAAGAAAATGCTATGATTTTGATTTATTTTTTGCCAACAGGGGGAAAGTGAAAAGGATATAAAGCGGCGGTTAAGTGATAATTCCTATGCAGATAAGACGGGTATTAGTCGCAACATCAGATTCAGAATAAGGATTGACATAATTGAATTCAACACAAAAAAAAAGGATAACCATGATTGACAATGTCAATTCGATGTCTTTATCAACGAATGAGACAAAAATATAAAGATAAAGTAATCACACAATAATGCAGCATGGAACAGGAAATTTTCTATGGCAGGATGGAGAGAAATGAACATGATGCTAGCTCACGAGAATGAAGTTAAAGTTCTTGGCCAGCTGCCTGGCCGGAATGAACTATAAAATAATGGCTAGAAAAGGGCTTTTGAAAACAAGCATGATTAATATAATAAAATAATCCAGCCCCTTTCAGACTAAAACCAATTGGATGCAAAAGGGCGTCTTCTTTCCCAGAGGAACCTTTGACTGCGTTGGAAAAACATATAACATTAAACTCGACACATTTTCCCAGATTCGATTTCGCTTTTTTCAGAAGGGGGCCTTTTCATGAGAACTTCATCTCTCCAAAAGAAGAGCAGAGCCTTTTTCATCTCATGCATCTAAAAGCGTCTTGTTTTTTTTTTTTTAATTTATAATGATTATTGTGAAATATTTAAAAAGAAATTTCAGCCATTGCTATGTTGCGAGTGAAACTCAAATTCATGCCCCAAAGACAAAATACAAGCCGTGTTCAAGTGGAAGTTCAAATTTTACCCAAACAAGCAGATTGACATAAATATGAGCCGTGTTCAAGTGGAAGTTCAAATTTTACCCAAACAGCAGATAGTTGGGGGAAAATACAAGTAAAATTTGCCTCTTATCAAATCAAAGTCATATGATCCAAATTCCGATCGTAGGGTGAAAATGTGAAATAATGCTTATATGGTTAAAGACTACAAATCCAGATCTAATAATGAACACAAGCAACACCACATATGTACTATTTTGCGAAAAATCCCTTTTGCAGTCAAGCGAAATCTAAGAACAATCACATGCATGCTCAAAATTTGACAGAAACCCGAAACTAAAATCAACGAAAAAGCGTCCTATATATTCAAAAGACAAGAATATCGTTGCAGTTGCAAATTTGCAACAGCAATATCACAGTACCTGAAGCGCCGACAAGTTCTCAGTATAGAACCTCTCGACATTGTCCTGTAGAAATTGGTCTTTAAATTTAGAGCAGAGTTTCCCAGATTGAAGACAGCTCTGAATTTTGTTCCAGGTTTTGGCGTTGTTAACCCGCTTCTGCAACCAGTTAGAGTAATCACCGAGTCTATACTCCTTATAACCTCTATTTGACACGGCTTGCCCTGCGCCTTTGTTGGTGACGACAAAGGCGAAGATGGTGAAGGCGAAGACCAGAACGATGAGGCAGAACATGACGACTAGGTAGAGCCAGAGAAGCCAGGAAACGCGACAGCACGCGCCGATCAAGCCAGCGAGAGAGACCAGGAGGAGGAAGACGCCGAGCACAATAACCGGCTTCTCGAGCCATCGCTCGCAGTCGGTGTCGGCTTGGCGGCTGAGCCAAATGCCAGCAATGAGGATGGGAATAGAGAGGAGGAGGGTTAAGAAATTGAGGATCCCAATCAGATTGTTGCTCACACGACCCATTTGTGAGAAGAACAAAGATCTGAGCACACGGATTAACCAAACAGAGGAGAGAAAGAGACCCAAAACGAAGGCGAAGAGATCAGAGGATTTGAGGTTTAGGTGGTGGTTGCTTGTTTTTATAGCGACGACGAGTAAGTTGACATCAAGCATTTGGGCCGAAGATGTTACGAAACGAACTTGCGAAGAAGGCAGTATCTGCCCGCTCAGTACGCGACTGACGCGTTTTGGCGATGGCTTCTTTAAGTTTAACAGAACGTGACACGTTTTTATTAATTTAGTTTAATGATTAAATTAATCAGTTTAAAACATAAGAGTCTGAAAAGTCTGTGTTTGCCAGTTCAATTTTTCATATTTACACCTATCACTTTACAAATTAAACTTGTAAAAAAATTTGATTTTATTATTTCAACTCACAATCTTATATGTAAAACAAATTTAAGTCTAGGAAGACCATTGAAACATAAAATCTCAACATATTTATTTTTTTTTTTTATTGTCGTAGTTTACACACTCATTGTACTTTTTGTTAAGAACTCAAACTCGCAATCTAATATTTAAGAAAGTCCTAAAAATTTTTATGTGATAAGGTCACGAATACCCCCCCCACACTTGGGGGATGATGAATAATTGGTCATGGTGAGATAAAATTGAGTCCAAGGTGTGACATGCATGACAATATGACACGAGCCAAGGTAATTTTTATATTATCCTCCATGTGTAAATATTTGATCCCGCAAATTAAATAATAAAAGGAAATCTTGAAAGTAGTCTAGCGCTAATTGACATTTTTTTTCAACAAAGATTTGGATTTAAATATAAATATTGTTGATGAATAGTTTATAAATATTTTTGAGCCTTCACATAAATTATTCTCATGATACAAGATCTATAAAAGGCCAAACATATAAAATAAAGTTATTTATACAATAAACGCGTTAGATTTATAAACTTTATAATCAAAATCTAAAATAAAGAAGTGTTTAAAATAAAGGTAGATGAGAAGATGAGAATTTTGGGGCCGTTGAAGAAGTTATACTAAATAAATAAAAAAACAAAAGGCAAAATGCTAATACATATATGTGTGTGTATACATATACATATTTATATATATAAAGTTCTTACACTTTTGCCTTATGAAACGTATAAACCAGATTAAACTTTAAAGCAATAGAGAGGGAAATATAGGAATGGGTGAACCACTGCAACCATCGAGAAGCTTTGGAAAAGGCGTCATCCTTTGTAACAACTTTATTTTTTTTAATACAGTTTTATACTTAAGAACTTCTTTCTTGAACAAAAAGTACGAGCCATGTTTTAGCTTTTAAGGATCAGTGAATTAAACTACTAATGAAAAACAGATATCTTATTTTACACTATTTGTAGAGCATCGAAAATTTAAAAAAAAAAAAGGTGTTTCAAATGCGAGTAGCATCAATTTCAAAGAAAAAATAATAATATGATAAAGATTTGATATGTAATTTGGATCTGAAAAGGAATAATTAATTAGAAGGCACGAAACAGAGGGCCGACGAGTCAAAGAAGGAGTGGAAACGTAACAAGGGAAGCCATGGCCCCAAATAAGGAGAGAGAGAAAAGAAGGGGGAGGCGTGAACGGAAATTCGGATGAGTCATCAAATGTGGATGGACTCGTTACTTCATCCATTATTAATTACTATTGATTACTTCTTCTTTCGCCGTCCGTGAATTGATAATTCAAATATCATTATACAAAACCAACTGACCACAACAACAAAATTAGGCAGTCATGATCAGTACTCCTTCTATCTTATTTATAAATTATTTTTGGTATTTTTTTAAACAAATAAAAAAACCTTAAATTGTATTAACTTTTCATTAAAATATAACAAATTTTCAACTTTATTCCTATTTAATATATATATATTTTCAAAAAAAATAACTATCTACACTGCGTTGGGTACATATGTAAACAAAAAATATTTTTTAAAAATAAGCATAATATATTTATAGCAAAAATTTAATAATTACAATCAAATATAAGACAATATTTATTACAGAAAAAAGTGTTTTAGAAAAACATGATGAATGAACTTTAAAAAAAAAATTAGATAAATGCACTTCTAATTTATTAAGAGATAGTATTTTGTATCAAACATAGCATTTGTATGAAAAAAATTATAAAATTTATCACTTATGAGTTGATGTTGAATGTTAATCACGCAAAATATTTGTAATGTATTGTTTTATATTAATATTGACTATTTTAAATGTGGTTAAACATAATTTATACTTGTGATTGCTTTTAAAATTTTAGATCACTCTTTATTAATTTAAAAAATTAAATAAAAAATGAAATTTAAAAATTGAGAATTTTTTTTTTTAAAAAAAGATGGCCACTAGCCCGCCAACCAACTGTGATGGGTTAGGATTAGGATTTTTTCAGTCCACCAAAATACAAGTTATTCCAGCCCACACTGTATAACCTGCGGATTGTAACGAGCTGACCCGTATTTCTAACTATCCCCTGAATAATCGAAAAGAACACGTAACCTCCGAACCTCATTGAGAAAAGGAAAACCTTATCCTGCTTCTTGCCATGAGCTTCGCTCGTGTGAGCCGCGAGAGAGGCTTTGTACGTGTCTTGTCGAATTTGAAAGCGACTGTGGACGAATCGAGTGCGTCCGATTAATCTTGTTTTTCTTACGACAAAAAAATTAATTAATCATGTTGGAGGCGTGAACGGAAATTCAGACGAGTCATCAAATGTGGATGGACTCGTTACCAAATGTGGATGGACTCGTTACCAAATCAATTATTAATTACTATTGATTACTTCTTCTTTCGCCGTCCGTGAATTAATAATTCATATCTCATCATACAAAACCAACTGACCACAGCAACAAAATTAGGCAGTCATGATCAATACTCCTTCTATCTTATTTATAAATTACTTTCAGTATTTTTTATACAAATAAAAAAAATCTTAAATTTATTAACTTTTCATTAAAATATAACAACTTTTCAACTTTATTCCTATTTAATATATATATACACTTTTAAAAAATAACTATCTACACTATAATAAATTAATGATAAAATAATACATTCATACTAAAAATTTAATAAAACGACTTATAAAAAGAATCGATAAAAGCTTTCTCTTTCTGCCGTATGAATGTAACAAGAGGAGTACTTATTACTTGAAACTATATTAGAATTATAATATAATGCAATTAAATAAAGGGTTAGGATGAAAATTTCTTCCAAAATTTTTTACTCAAAAGCAATGTTGCATTGGAAGTTTTTTTGAATTCAGGATTGCCTCTAAAGTTTTAAAATGGAGCAACAGTGTTTTTTACTATTACAAATATTAATCGTTAATGATAATTTGTTAACAATAATGTTTATTTTTTAATGGGTGAGGTAACATCACTATATTTTGAAACTTTTGAGACGACATTAAATCTAATAAAACTTTTTGGACAATATTATTTGTGAACGAAAGCTTACTAAACAAATTCACATTTTCTTAATCAAATTTGTACTTTTACATATTATATAAAAGCAAAAATTATAATGAGGTTTAAAAAAAATAATTACAAAACAAGTCTTAAAAAATTTTAATTTTCTCTTCCTAGAACTTTCAGTAATTTTTTTTTTTTGTTTGGCACCTCATTGTAATCTCCCTAAATAAAATCCTAGGTCAATAATGGACAACTTTCTTGGTCTGCCTGCTAGTAGTGTTCATTGATGCAACTCGCGATGAATGCTATGCATCACTAAAATTTAATTCATAACTGCGTTGACATTCTCAACTCTCCATACGTATCAAAGGGTGCGGTCATTTGTTTTCCGTAGTAAGAGTATTTTAAAGAAGATATAATATATTTATTACAAATAATTAATTTAACTAATTTTTTTAATCTCACTACAAAAAAATATGTTAATTCTAGCGGTTATGGTGTTACATTTCTAGCGGTTTTAACCGCTACAAATAACATTTGTAGCGGTTAACGAAACCGCTAGAAAAACAGGTGTTAGAAAAAATTTCTAGCGGTTATCTCAACCGCTACACATCATGGTCAAAACGATAGAACATTTCTAGCGGTTACGAACCGCTAGAAATTATCTGAAGGAGACACATTACTAGCGGTTACAAAACCGCTAGAAATTTTTCCGGGGAAACGTTTCTAGCGGTTTTATAACCGCTAGAAAAGTTTCCCCGGAAAAATTTCTAGCGGTTTTGTAACCGCTAGAAATCTGCTAAACGGGAATTAAATAATTTCAGTAGCGCGCGAAAATTACTAGCGGTTATAGAACCGCTAGAAATCTTTGGGAAATTAAATTTTCACACCAATTGAATTTTTAGAATGGCGGGAAAATTTTCTAGCGGTTCTTAACCGCTAGAAAGTTTGGCGCGAAATTTAAATTTGACGAAATATTTCTAGCGGTTCTGAACCGCTAGAAATGTTTACCGTGCCAGAAAAAAAATTTATGGTTTTTCATATTATAATTTTAAAAACCATTAAATAAATTATTTTGAAGAATTTTTGTTAATTTGTATAATTAGTTATATGTTACATTTTATATATTCAAATTTTGTAATAAAAAATATGTAATTAAATTATGAATGTGTTAAAAGAAGTGAATTTAATCTAACAAGATAATTTAATTGAATATTTAATAAGATAGTTGAATTGAAGATGATATATTTTGGAATATTGAACCTATAGTATTAAGTTGATGAGTATTTGAATCAGTTGAGGAGGGCATGACAAATGTGGAGAAGAAAAATCTGAAAGGAAAGGAGAAATAAATATGTTAGTAAATTTTAAATAAAAACAAATAAAAGATACAATTAATTATAAAATAAAATTCACTTACCATAGAGTAAAGAGAAAAAAATCACAATATGAGATAGTAAGAAAAAAAGAGAGAATTATGAAGAAGAATAGGAGAGGAAGGAAAAAGATGGAGTAAATGAATGTAGAGAAGATATGGTATTTATAGAGATCAGCGACACATTTGTAGCGGTGTTTTTGTAGCGTTTTATAACATTTTGTAGCTGTTATTCATTTTCTAGCGTATATAAAAGCGCTAGTAATTAGTAGCGGTTACATATGTAGCGGTTATTAACCGCTAGAAAGTTAGTATTTTTTATTTTTAAAATCTCAACGAATTTTAATTTACAGGTATGTATTTTGTAG